CATACAAGAGAAATACTGAGGTCTTCTTTGTGGTTCTGGCAAAGGCTCACTCACGCTTTCTTTTACGGTCTTCTGGTGATGAATTATTCCTCCCGTCACTCTTTCTCTGTGTTTGAAGACAGGGAGTTGTTCTCATGGAAAATGCAAATACCAGTCAATAAATAAATATATATATGGGACTAATCTAAACAGTGTTGACAAGGCAGTGTTACAGTTATATTACATTTAAAGGCAGTACATAATTACACATCTATGACTGTGTTGTTTCAGGAATTATTCCTTTTGAACTCTCTGGCCTATAAGATTGTACTGTTAATGAGCATGCACTGCTAGTATAATAATGTGGATACTATATTACAGTAGGCTCTTATTTCACTATGTGTTCAAGGTAAAAGATGGCTACGTTCTATTGTAAATGCATTTAGGAAAAGGCTGTTACTGCACATGTTATCATGCTCTTTTGCTATGCTTATGATTTGTCCTCTGCTGACTTTTGCAGGAGCCCTATTAAGTTCATGCAGTTCACACTAGGAGTCTGTCAAGCTTCGTTGCTCAAGGGCAATGGCTTAAATGCACTAGGGTGGTTAATAGGGAGGGAGCTTGCGTTTCCCCATATAGTGTTCACTCTTACTGTATGTGTACTCACACTGCTGTTCCGTGCAACACATGGAGCAGAACCACACAACTTAGAGAGGCACGACTTTGGATCACCTTGTCTGCAAACCCTGAATTACACCAGTCAATGATACACACAGTCCAAACAAATTGAGAGCGACACTTTGACTAAGGGAAGAGAAGATTTATACTAGCATATTCAAAACCCATGAAATTCTTCTCTGTGTATTTACAAAAACATAATACAAGAATAAAAAAGAGAAAATTAACACATCACTAATGGAGTCCCACATACTGCCACAAAACAGAAAACATGATCCAATTTACAAATGCATCGTCTTGCACTCCCACTTATGGCTTCAATCTAACATAAGTGACTAAATAAAATATTTCTGTTCAGTTGTGATGGTGCACCAGCAGTCCATCCCTCCTCTCCAGATTTGTTTAAATAATAATAATAATAGTAATAATAATAATATCAAATACACATACAAGACAAGAGGTGCTACATTTGTGAGCTGTACACTATGCAGTAGGGAGAGGGAAATGTTCACAGGCATATCAACCTTTTGTATGATGATTATACATCTTGGGCCGTGAAAAGGTTGAAAACATTGATTAAAAACAAGCTTATTTAGCTTTCTGTACCAACCAACCTTTCACATCACACTGAGATCACAGTTCATCCGGATGGAAATAGAGAACAAGTGGCCAGAGTGACTCAATAAGCTTGTGTCTAACAGTTCACCTTTCATACTGGTCATCTCTCTTTGTAAGTCCACTCAAGAAAGTCAATTGATGAATCATTAGGATAAAGGTTCAAAGAACTACAGATAACAGAGGCACAGCAAACACAAATCAAATCACATGACAGGTTCAGTGTCCTCATTTGTTATATAATATAGTCAAATAAAAAATCTAACTTTTGTCCTGTGCACTCAACGGGATGTAAAAAAGCCCAATAGGAAACTGCCAACACCGTCAATTGGAACAGAGGTTAATAGCTTAATAAAGAAAGATGCATCACTTTATTATATTAAAAAAAATAGGTTTGTATTAGTGGGTATAAACCTTTTTACCAAGTGTTATCTCTACTGCTCTCACAGCATTATAACATACCTTTGGAAAGAGGAAGTAACACAATATTTCTCTCACAATTAGAATCACTCAATTCATCACTGGATTGGATTTTGTTTCTATCGCCCCACATGGTCTTGTGTTCAACAAAAGTTACAGTCTTGCTTCAAGCCTCAAACAAAACTGGTTTGCGAGTTTTTTCAATAACCACACGATGTTACTTCCAATTTTGATTTTGAAGAGATCTCACATTTTTAACAATTATGGCTGAGTTTGGGAGTATAACTAGCAAAACGACTTATAGTACAAAACATAAAACACAATGTAAGTGGTCTGAACACGTGTGAAAACCACAAAAGCTGAATATTAAGACAGATTTCTGCACAAGCTTTGAATAAACCTTGTTATTGTGATGTATCTCCAATTGTCTTTCAGTAACGGACAAACGATTTGTCGAGAAAAGACTAAAGATGTGACCACCAGTTGGATTAAATTTGACCATCAATCAAAACGTTTCTATAAATCCTTGAACATTGAAACCTTAGCATAAATAGGATACTGATTTGTTTTTGGGCATGAACAAAAAGCAGACAGGAGTGTGTTCACAGTCTCATTCACGCTGTATGCAAATATACAAAGAGTTCTCCTCCAGGGGTTTCAATTTGGTTCCTTTGTACAGTCTCATAGTTGCAGAGGAAGAACTGATGAATGTAGCAGTCCCCACTTCAAACTGGAGAAGAAACGGGAGAGAAGAGACGTGGACAGAAACGATGGAGGGGGGGGGGGTCGGGGGTTAGTAGGAGGACGGAGCGGGGGGTGACTGCCTGACATGGCGGGTTGTGGTGGAGGAAGAGTCACTGGCCTAGATGACATCACATCCTGTCCCGCTGCTTTCACTGATGCACCCCAGCATGATGGGCGGCTGAACCGAACCTGCTTCAGAGCCTTCACACACTCATCGTCATGTTTGGAGAATACTGCAGGGATAACATGAGGGGAAACAAGTATGTGTGAGTGTGTGTGTAGGAACATGTTGCACTGTTAGTAAGTATGCTGAATCAGAAATCCTTCCAAAATGTTATGGATTAAGTCCAACAATTATAAGACACAGTCAAAGTTATGCGAGTCATGCATTTGTGATTTGCTCCCATTCTAAGTAAACCTATTTTAATTGGATTTTAGGTAGCTGATGGTCAAAAAAACATTCTATACTGTAACTATTAAGTAAATCGTTAAATTAACTATCCAGTATGGCATTTAATGGGGTTGTGGCAGATTGCAAACAACTGGATACACCCACGATAACCCCTGCTTTCCCAAACAGGACAAACTAAATATGTGGCTCTGTCTTAATCCAGAGTTGAGGTTTGTCCATTCAGGGCTACTGTAGAAACATGGTGGACTCTGTGAGGAATGTAGATATGAAGGGTTTATTCTAAAGTAAAGAAACTATGATTATTAGTTTCAGGTGATTATGAACTATTGAAAAATAGTTATAAATAGTATATTGCAATAAATCCCCCTTACATTGTTCCTATATTTCTATAGTTTAGTTAGTAGTTATATTACGTTTTGAGCTCTTGCTACCTAATATCCTCTAATCTCCACATATAGTAGATTATAATTGATTTACACTTTCATTCTGAAAAGGGTTTAGGAAGTTTCCTCCCATCTCTCCATCCTCCCTGGGGGTCCCAGGCTGGTTACTCATGCTAAGGTTACCAGGAGAGTTCTTTAAAACAAATGGTAATGGTATGCTATTAAATGATCAAATATTGACACTGCAATTGTCATGTAAAGTAGATACATATATTATCTCACCTTAGGGAGGCTGTCCATATCACCTGACCCTAAAAGAGGGAACACATTGTAAAATTATAACTGGAGATTTTGTGTCAATACGGCACATACTGTACAAACTACTTATTCCTATACCTAGTGTTATTCATGTGATGGGGCTCCATCCCAGCCATCCCCCCTAATGGACCGTCGCCACCTGCACCCATAGGGAACTGAGGGGAAAACTATTAGATACATACACAAACTCTACCAAACACACAGATATGTGATATACACTGAGAGAGGAATGTCTTACGTTTGGTCAGCTTCCACCTGGAGGGACTGTGTTTATCATCGTGTACATGTTGTCGCCAGAATTGGTTGAATCTGATGTAATGAACAGAAAAACAATGAGTTTGAAAGAGCACCAACGTACAGCTCTCGAAAACATCAAGAGACCACTCCAAGTTTTTCTTAAATCTCAATCTCTACATGTATGGCAACCATTCCATTCCAGTGTCTGTTGAATTCCAACACAGATAAATGCTGTCAGTAGTTATATATTAGAATAACTCAGTAGTTATATTATAGAATAATATCAAAAAACATTATTTTACTCAAACACATACTTATAAATAGTAAAACCAGAGAAACTGATAATGCTGCAGTGGTCTCTTGATTTCCAGAGCTGTATGTATGAGTTCAGATATAGACACACACTCAAACACACACACACAGATCTTGCCTGCTGGACTTGGCATTATTGGGGTCCCAGGTGCCCCCCCTCCTCCTGGTAGTCCCTAAAAATGAGAGTTTTGGTTTCCATAAGTTTCATTCATAAAGCAATGACTTTCAACGTGTACAGCTAGTGAACAATGACAGTTTAAACTCAAACATCCATACCACATAATTTCCTGGAGATGCAGAAGAGTAGGGGGTCTGCAAAAAAACAAAGGGTAATCATGAAAAGTCACTTTTTTTTTGTTTGGTGTCTTTTTTTTGTCAGGTCACTTACCGAATTGGCAGTGGCGACTGGTCATTAGGGGCACAGCCCCCCCTAGTGTCAGCAGAAAGTATTGCAAATAATGATTACCAAAAAAAATATATATATATATATAAAATATATTTTAAGATCATGTTTAATCATCTGATTCGTCTGTACATTGCTGTTTTAGTCTGTGTTCTTCTAATTAGTGTATCTACAGTCACAGTGTGTGCCTATTGAGCTGTTTAGAGCCATGTGGGACAAAACCTGATCATGCCCCTCCCTCTCACTGTGAAGTGAACGGTGACTGTAAAAACTACACTGCGCATGCTCAGAGTATTTTCCTATTTAATTTGTGTGGCAGTGGCGTCGCCTGGCCTGGGCATCCGGGGCTTTAGCCCCGAATGTTTTTTCTGTAGCCCCGGACAATTCTCCCTCAATAATATAATACATTAACCGTGCTTTACGTGAACCTCATCATGACACGAGAGGACGGCAGCACTGTAATTTCCCGTGTTCAGTGAATGCAACAGAGGCATGACACCAGACCAATCAGAGAGTTGCATGGAAATAAACGTGTGCTTGTGTCATTCAAGCTCGGCTCTGTGTGTGTGTGGCAATAGCGCATTTAGGCGTTGTGCACACGGGAACGTTTGCGTTTATGCACAGTATGCGTATTCAAAAAAGTCTTCCGTTCACATGCATTCGTTTCATTTAACGTGTCTGTTCAAACGAGATCGCTGGAAACGCTGTAGTACATATGCCGGGACTGTAAGTGGCGCTGTAACTTCCGCCACAAAATACACCAAAAGCAGCGAAGAAGACTCCGGAGCAGCCCCGCAGCAATGTTGCCATGGCTACCCTTCTGTTTATGCCCCGCGGTGGATTTAGCAACATGTAGTTCATGTAATTCTCCATGTCCACTTGTTGCTGATGGTTGTGGTAGAGGAGCTGTAGATTTTGCACTAATATCTGTAGCATGGTCAGTAGCAGTAGCACTAGCAGTAGCTACTGACAGGAGGAAGTGTGTGTGGCGATTGCTGGTATTCAGCGGGATATAGTAATTTCCTCAGCATGTAAATATATGGATAAATGCAACGGGGAAGTTAACTGAAAGAAACCGAATCTGTGGATATTGCATCGACCGACCAAGAAGCACGTCTCCGTGGAGAGGACGCGCTCAGAAAGAGAGATATTCTCTACAAACACCGGGTGAGATCGCTCCTCTGGGACACGGCGGTCCTCGTGTTTCCTTTTTTTGTGTGGATTATAGCCTGAATAGGCCTACAAACATTTCTCTTTTTGCCGCCGACGGGCGCAGGAGCAATGAACAATAATGGCCTGGATTAGGCAGTAAAGACAATGTTGGTGTATCGCAGAGCGGACTGTTTAATTTTGTTTGTGTTGTTTGGCTGGAAAATTGTCAATATAATGCAGGGGTCGGCAACCTTTTTGATATGAAGTGCCATTAAAAAAAAAACTTGTTATCGGCGTGCCAACGATCGAGAATTATCAACGGGGGGGGCGGGGGGGGTTGAGGAGCTTGACGCTGGTGAACTATCAACAGGAGGGCGGGGGGAGCCTCGCAGTGTGTGTGTACCTGTCAGCACAACTTACATGATGCCATTTAACCCTTGTGCCCTCCTCGGGCATTTTTGTACATTTTTCCTGACTTTTTTTTTTTATTTGGTGTTCATTTCAGCTGTGTTACAGCTTTTGGCATGGATTTTTGCAAGAAGTCTTCTTTTGAGTCAAATTTTTTAAATCCAATGTCGTTTACTCTTACATGTTTTGTATACTCTCGTGATGCATTTTGCACCCTCTGGACCCCTTCGTGGCAAAAATGTACACGCTCATAGAAACTGCTATTAAATCATCATACATCAATATTTTATTAAACTTTTTTTTCCATGAATCACTTGAACAACTTCTAACGTGCTCAAAACTACCAAACATCCAATAGTTTTCAGGATGTTAACCCTTTAAATGCCTGTTTCATTATTTGAATTATTTAATTTCTCTTAAAAAAAAACACAAAAAATGAATTTCTTTCAATATAATAATTAGTAGAGGGATGAAACTTTGGTGGTTATTAGAGTCTTGGATGTGTCAAAGATTAGCAACAAAATTGATTTGACTGCATTATTAATTTTTACGTAGTGTCAGATACTACCTTTGGACCCCTTCGTGGCAAAAATGTACACGCCCAAAACAACTGCTATTAAATCATCATACATCAATATCTTTTTCTACTTTTTTTTCATGAATCACATATACAACTTCTAACATACTCCAAACTACCAAACATTCAATCATTGGCAGGATTTTAACCCATTAAATGCCTGTTTCATTATTTTAATTATTTCATTTATCTCAAAAATGCCTCATTGACTTCCATTCAGACCACATTTGTTGATCTCACTGCCATTGCAGTATAAAACCATGCATTTTGTAATGTCAGCATTTCATTTAGAAGAAAAGTAGTGATATTTGATATGTCTACTCTATTCCAACAGATTACACAAGTTTCTGTGTAGGCCGATGCATTACATTCTTACATTTTTGCCAGTTATATTATGGAGCCGTGTGACTACCAGGGGGCCCCGAGAGTGGTGTGTGTGTGTGTGTGTGTGTGTGTGTGTGTATATGTGCGTGTGTGTATGTGTGTGTGTGTGTGTGTGTCATTTCCAGCAGCAGACTAGCAGGTCCTGCAGCATGTGACCTGGTGCTCTCAGGTGATAGAACAACCATTTTTTAGGCCTGTGCACAACCAGCACACACCTCTCCTCCCTCTCCGTGTGTGTCTGTGAGAATCTGTAAGCATGCACAGATCATTTCATGGGAAAAAAAGGCCATCTTTTGAGGGATGTGTTTGATGTGTCTTTGAAGAGCTGCTTGATTACTCAAAAACAAAAAACAACTGTTAGTGTGTTTATGCACCTGGCTGCCAAAGATAAACATGCAGTTTGACCAAGGGCTTATTTCATTAGTGAGCAGAGAAGGAGAAAGACCTGGAGCAAAGAGAAGGAACTCAAATGAAGAAGCTTTTCAGTGCAGAAGAGACTTCAGAAATAATCTTGCAGCCTTCTTCTGCCAGCGAGCTGCAGGACTCATCTGAAGAAGACACAAGGTTCGAGGGGGGGTCTGACACTGAATGCTCTCTGGAGTCCAGCATTTCTTTGAGTTCCTCTGACCCTTCATCTGAAAGTGGAGAGGACACTGAGGGTCCGGCCCACCATCCACCACCACGGGGGGCTTTCTTCTCACAATCTGTGAGGACACCCTGGTTTTCCCCAGCTCCTGGGAGAACGACCTCCGTTCTTCTCTGTCCCCTCACTGTGGGCCGGACCCTCAGTGTCCTCTCCACTTTCAGATGAAGGGTCAGAGGAACTCAAAGAAATGCTGGACTCCAGAGAGCATTCAGTGTCAGACCCCCCCTCGAACCTTGTGTCTTCTTCAGATGAGTCCTGCAGCTCGCTGGCAGAAGAAGGCTGCAAGATTATGTCTGAAGTCTCTTCTGCACTGAAAAGCTTCTTCATTTGAGTTCCTTCTCTTTGCTCCAGGTCTTTCTCCTTCTCTGCTCACTAATGAAATAAGCCCTTGGTCAAACTGCATGTTTATCTTTGGCAGCCAGGTGCATAAACACACTAACAGTTGTTTTTTGTTTTTGAGTAATCAAGCAGCTCTTCAAAGACACATCAAACACATCCCTCAAAAGATGGCCTTTTGTTCCCATGAAATGATCTGTGCATGCTTACAGATTCTCACACACACACACACACACACACACACACACACACACACACACACACGGAGAGGGAGGAGAGGTGTGTGCTGGTTGTGCACAGGCCTAAAAAAATTGTGTTCTATCACCTGAGAGCACCAGGTCACATGCTGCAGGACCTGCTAGTCTGCTGCTGGAAATGACACACACACACGCACATATACACACACACACGCACACGCACATATACACACACACGCACATATACACACACACGCACACGCATACATATACATACACACACACACACACACCACTCTCGGGGCCCCCTGGTAGTCACACGGCTCCATAATATAACTGGCAAAAATGTAAGAATTGAATGCATCGG